CCTGGTATATAAAAGAGGGTGACAACGTGACGGTAATAATGTAGTGTGTGTGTGTAGGTAATGAGTAATTGAACTGCGGTCAGAGAGAGACGTATTGTTGAAGTTAACGTCCGTTCGTTATATTGTTTGTTTTAGCGCGAATATTGAAATTAAGTGTATCGTAAAGTTATATTCGGAAAGAATAAACCAGTTTTATTAAGTAAAGACTTGTGTCGTTAAAGGTTCGTCGGAACGAAGTTACGGAAAAATCAATTAACAAACGGAGACGTAACAATAATATCATCTTACATCTGTTAAGGAAATAGTCTAGATGTTCTGTAGGTAAAATCAAAATAGTAAAGAGAAATATTTAATACTATCTTCTGATAATAAGTTTTCTTCTGGTAGGGTCAGGTGCGTTTGACTTTTTCCTCCTCTTCTTTTCTGGTTAACATTTAAACAATCGCGCGTGTGCCTCTGATAAGCGTATTAGGCCTTTGAGTAACTTTTAAGTTTCGAACGGCTGGTTGGGGCCTACTTGTATTACATCTATCTTCAACAGCTGTAGGACAAAAATACAAATTTGCATTCAGGAACACTATTAATATTATTTATTTGTTCTGATTGTCATCTTAATTGTTGGATTTTTTTTCTAAGCGTTTTAAAACATGGGGAAACTTAGGGTAGAGAAAACGTCAAATGTCTGCGGTTGACGTAAAGAGTATATGAAATTAAATATCGAAAATACGGACTTGACAACGATTAAAATAACAAGAAAAAGGTTTGTTAGACAAGCAATTTTTATTTATGCGTGTAAAAATAGGAATAAATGTTCTCTAAAATATGTAGAAACATTTTTTGTTTGTTTTGAAAATTCTGAATGAATTTCGTTTGAGTTCGCTAATCCCTATATCGTTTTTGTAACAAGCTCGGTTTTAACGACCTGAAAATAGTAGATTTACATGAGATATATTTTTATAAAATGAAGATTTGTACGAAATTTTATAAATGAAAAAAAAAAACAACAACAAATATTTACCACTTCCGATCCTATCCCAATCACGTTGAAACAGTCAGTGGTCCCGCGCTAATTCCTGTACTCACAGGCTTGAACGGGCTAATCACTTCTTTTAAACAACTTATTCGTAACGATCCCTCATGTTTACAGTCACCTGCACGGATCACAGCTACCACGATTTAGATCGTTTAGGTCTTACGACGGGATACACATTGCTGTGTGGAATAGTTAGGAAGGATAAATGGCTTTATGTTTTATAGTAGCGCCCTCTGGTGAATATAAAGAAAATTATTTGCATATATAGAGAGAGCAGTCACCAGCTTTTACAAGGTTTTATCTGGCTTTTGAGCTATAAAACATTAACTTTAAATTTCGTCTAGATATAGATATTTTTAGTTAAATTATAATATGTTATTACACCTTTTTTAAATATCATATTCGCTATTATCATTACTCTGTTCTAGACGACGCTTAATAATTTTTGTTGCTATGGCTTCCGTCTTAGTTACGCGCTAATGCACGCCAAAAGAGACGGAGAACACGAAAATAACCGTCGACGTAATATGTTTGGTTACTTATAAACAAGTCGAACAGATATAGATAGAGCTGTAGCCTTCACGGATTTTCAAATCATATAAAAAGAAATAAAACATTTCATAATATAGTGTTTCAAACATTTTCATTACCCTCGTCCCCGCAGGGGGCGGGGGCGAAGGTAATGCAATCAAGTCCACGTGTGTATTTGTCTGTGTTTCCACGCGCTTATCTCGCAAACTAATATACCGATGTACACAAAAATTTTACACACGATGGGAAGACAGTATGGGACGATCTTCCCCAAATTTGAAGCATTTTTTTTGTTTTTTATAATGGGGGAGATATGGCATTTTCGCGGTTTTGGGTTAGTAACTTTATTAAGGTCGAGACTCCTCATTACACTACGAAGAATGATCTGGATCGTTGATAATTCTGGGTCTGAGAAGGTTTTCTGAGGTTTCGAAGGTGTAATATGACGTTATCCAGCATAAACGCATGCAATCTCGAAAAGGAGCGGCGGAATGTAATCTCTCTGATTACTCTTGTTCTCAGACCACCTTATCTATTTTTCTGTATCGGAAATTCACGAGGCTGACGGTTGCCATTGACATTTAGCATAAACATTTAATGATACTTGTCTAGGATATTAGTATTAGGCCTATTACATTTTTAACCCTACACTTTTGATTATCCCCTTGAAATATGGTGGACATAGCGCGGTTGAAACACTATTATGCACCTCATCTTTTAAGGGACATTATTTTGCCTTTCGAGGAGTGTCGGGCATGGCCTAGCGGAAAGAATGCCGGGCTGTGAATCAAAAGTTTCAAGTTTTCAGTAAAATCCTGCCATTCAGTTCACAGTAGCCTTATAAACAGCAAACGTTATTGCTGATTACTTCTCCTTTGATCAGCAGTTCTGAATTAGGGATAGCTATTATCTGATCGTTTAGCCCATAAGATGTCGCTGAGATTTAAAAAAATATATATATTATTTGTAGAGGAAATATAAAGTATATTAAATTCCGAGTATAATTGGTTTTTAAATTAAAGGGATCAAATTATTTTTATTAGAAATACTATTTGTTTGTTTGTAGTTAAGCACAAGTTTGTACAATAGGCTATCTGTGCTCTGCCCACCGCGGCTATCGAAACGCGGTTTCCAGCGTTGTAAGTCCGCAGACACCGCTGCGCCAATGGAGGGGGCAAATACTATCTTATTATATATGGAAAATGTATCCCTTGTACAAAAGAAAAAGTTCGGCAGGGTGACATTGGTCGAGTAAAGGTTATTTAGAACTCACACGTAATGTCTTTTAAGAACTCGGGAAACGTAGAATGTGAAGTTCATAAATTAAAATAAGAATATATAATATAATATATTAGTGTATTATATTAATACTTGCTATTAAACAAGTAATGCATGTTTTTTGTTTGTTTACAGATATGTAAATGCTGTTTATAGGTCTTATTTGTCTTTCAACACAATAATAAGTATTTATCTCATGAGTGTTACAATTACATCGAGGGAAATAAAATGTCAGTAATTATTGTAAAACGCCACCTGTAGTCTGATATCCGAAACCACATTAATGTTTGTTTTTTTTCGCTCGACGACCGTGATAAGGGCGTAAGACAGTATCGCAGGGGACAATTTTTTTGGGCAGATGTATGTATGTGTATATATATACATATTTAAGTTTTAAGACCTGAAATAACATATTACTATTTTATTTACGGTATGATAACAACTAATATGATGCTTCATATGTAGATTAAAATGAGATAAATCTGACGGCTAGAAAAAGTCTCGGAAAGGTCTAAGCGAAGTTTCATATGTTTTTTGTTTATTCAGGAACAAACAATAAAATGCAAAAATTAACAAATTAAAAAAAAAAAGTTTTTTTAACAAAAGACGAAACGCATCTGTCACGTACAAAAAAAAAACAAAAAACATGTAAGGTAGAAAATAACATTATAACGAGGTAAATCCCAAAGGTCTAGAAACAGCTAACTTTAAAAGTGATATTTTCGGAACGTCTATTATACGATTTACATTTTCATTAGGCCAACGTAATGAAATTTGAGCTTAGAGATTATTGACGTTTAATAACTGTTACTACTTTAACGGAAAGCTTTATATGCTTATAACATTTGAAAGATTTTTAAATTATTTTTTTTTTATGTCTTTTTGTGATCGTTAGAATGAAACTTGTCTGAATGACATTAGTTTTGGGGTAGTCTGACCTCGTAGATGTCCATAGATGGTGACTTCAAGTTGGTTCACATTTAGTGTATCTATTTTTATTATGGTTTTATTCGTGTAATGTAAGGATAATAATGATCTGATCAATTCCCAAATCTTAAAGTTACTCCTGGGCTATCTGCGCTAGCCGTCCATAATTAAGAAGTGATAGAATAGAGGGAAGGCAACTAGTCAACACCCCCACCCCCCAACTCTTGAGCTACTCTTTTACCAACGAGAAGTTTGTTTGACCATCATAATATAATGCCCACAAGGCTGAAAGAACGAGCATGTATGGTGATGGGATTCGAACCCGAGACCCTCAGATTGCGAGTCGAGAGCCCTAACCAACACGTCATGCCAAACCTTACCAACAACGATGACATCGAATTGGACCAGGAGTGGCCTAATGACTAACGTGCCCTAACTGTGAATCCGTTGTCGTAACAGTAGGCCAAGAATAACGTTGGATGCTGTTGACTAACTCAATACTTTTCTTTCATTTCAAAATTAGGAGCGACTATGTGCCTTTTCAGCAGCTTTGTTCAACAACTCTGAAACAAACATACAGAGTACAGACTTGGCTCAAATAACATTATCTTCGATATGAGATTTATAAATATGGCAACGAATAGTAGTTCGACATTAATAATATATGCATTTTTATATTAAAAAATATAATATCAAACAAATTTTCTATTTTTTTTTCGTCCGCGCAAACTGTGAGCTACGTTTTCCAACGTGCTAACATCGAATTAAAAGAAGGATCTAGACTATTACAGAAGATGTAAATGTAAAATGTTTATAAAAATAATAATGCCAGTAAATATTTGAGCAATTCAACTTTTTAACAGAATTAAAAACGTTAAGATAAAACCCCACAATGTCAAACGAAGTGGCCAAGTAGTTAGCATACTTAGATTGTGAAATTAGAGAGTTTAGGGATCGCGCCCCGTTGTTGCCAAAATTGTACTCCTCACTTTAAAGCTATGGGTGTGTTATAATAGTGACTTTCATTTCTATTATTCGATCCTTCAAGAGTAGGCCTAAAGTTTGCAGTGTGCAATGTTGAACACCTGCCGTCCCTCTAGTCTATCAGCTCAATATTGGGGATGAGCAAGTAGAGATATCCCTTTTGTGTAGCTTTAGAATTAAATTCATCGTGATTTTGGTTTGGTTCTTGTAAATCACAAAGCTACACAGTGGGCTATATGTGCTCTTCCCATTACAGATATCGAAACTCGATCTCTAGTTTCGTAAGTCAACAGACTTGCCACTAGGAGGCGATTCATTATGAACCAGGATAGAATTAATTACCTCAGTTTCGTATAACTTTTAAACAATCACCCCCCCCCAAAAAAAGTTATGTATTATCATACACGTATTGTTATTTACTTTTCAGATTTGTGTTTAATTATCCTTCAAATATACGAGGTACGTTGTATGCATATTAAGTTAATTAAATCAAGAAAACAAATACATCTGGCCCGAAGTGTTTCTCAGTATGAAACAAAAACATAAAGTTAAAAAAAATACACTCTTCTTTAAAACAGCTTGAAAAAGTTATATGTATCTATGTTTGATCAGAGGTCGAGTGTTTATCTTCGAGAAAACATTTCGAATTTATATTTTTTAATTTGATTAATGGCCATACTTTAAAGCTGTGATAAAACAGGCCTTTAACTTCCTGTTCTTCTTGAAATATTTTTAGCTACTGAGTAAACACGGTGGAACGTTTTATTAAATATCCGGCGGTAGGAGGAGGCTGACAAAAAATATTTTATTTATAATAAAAAAGTTAGGCTAAAAATAAGTAATAAACAAATTATCTCTACGCCATCTAGTGTCACAGACCGTGAGTCATATTTTATCTAGATTTTTTAAAGACCTTTCTTTTTTGTTTGTTTAAAGCTTTATAGATCTGGTAAAATAGAACAATGTCACAGAAGGTATCATCATATTAATATTTCTTTATATCTAAAATGTCACCATTTTAATATTTCTTATCGTTTGAGATATCATGATATTAATGTTTACTGCTATTTAAGGTATCATGATATTAATGTTTACTGCTATTTAATGTATCATGATATTAATGTTTACTGCTATTTAAGATATCGTGATATTAATGTTTACTGTTATTTAAGGTATCGTGATATTAATGTTTAATGCTATGTAAGGTATCGTGATATTAATGTTTACTGCTATTTAAGATATCGTGATATTAATGTTTAATGCTATGTAAGGTATCGTGATATTAATGTTTACTGCTATTTAAGGTATCGTGATATTAATGTTTACTGCTATTTAAGGTGTCATGATATTAATGTTTACTGCTATTTAAGATATCGTGATATTAATGTTTACTGTTATTTAAGGTATCGTGATATTAATGTTTACTGCTATTTAAGATATCGTGATATTAATGTTTACT